TCTGTGTGTGTGTGTGTGTGTGTGTGTGTGTGTGTGTGTGTGTGTCTGTTCAATCATTAGGATGCGCTAGAAGCCTAGATAAACTCATGTAATGTGGAAATGAGTCCTGTCTACAACCGTGTGAGTGAGCTTGGAAGCAAATTCATTTGGCCCCTTTTGAGCCTGACTACAATCCCACTTGATAGCTAAACTGCAACTTCACAAAGACTCTGAGGCAGAATCATCTGTTTCCAGATTTCTGACCCACGGAAACAGTGAGATAATATGTATTTGTTGTTTTTAGCTGCTTAGTTTTGGGGTAATTTGTTCTGCAGCAGTAGAGACCTAATGCACAATACAAGAAGGAAAATTTGTTATTTTCCACATCGATACTTCATTCCAGAAGACAGGGAGGGAAATCTACAAAAGTCAGAGGGAAGGAAAACATGATCTAAGAATTTTAGAGTTAAAATCCTAGGTTAGAATTAAGTTGTTCATGCATGTATGTGACAGACAGACCTTCTCAAGGATGTAAAAACTCAGCATAGACAAAAATCATGATTCTTTCTGAAAAAAATTACTTGGAATAATTCAAACAAACAACAAAGATGTGATCGACATAGTAAAATGTATCAAAATAAAAGCCACGGGAAGGAGGTTAGAGTTTGCTATCAAGTCTACTTAAATATCCACTTAAATAAGTAAGACTAAATTGTGAGAGGTATGGTTACCAAGCAGAATATAAAAGTTATAGAACCTGAAAATGTAATCGCTATTCACCCGATGTCACCCAGAGTGACTTTTTTGTTTCCCTGGATGCAAAAATTCCTCAAAGAGAAACGTTTTGCTGATGTGGAAAATGTGAAACAAAAAACAGCAGGACTAAAAGGCATTAACATTGACAAGTTTAAAAACTGTTTTGAGCAGTGAAGAAAGTGTCTTGATAGGTGTATTGCATCAAATGGGGCATACTTTGAAGGTGACTGAAGCTTAAACATGTAAGAATACTTTTTAAAAATAAATACATTCTGTTTTGGGGGGTTCCCCCTCGTACTATAATGACTTCAATTTCATTGTTTCATAATTGTTTTTCTTTAAAGAGACATTTGAGGAAATAGATATTTAAAGAGATCTTTTCTGGAAAAAATGTATTAAAAAATCTGAATATATAATTTCTATGGTTTTATGTTAGCCTTTTTCTTAAAATTTCACTTACATTTTAGTTTTGTGCTCCTTATTTTTGACACCTCTCCCTGAAGGACTCTAATCTCCTGCAGACAGGTGCTGTCTTTCATGTGCTTATTCTCTGGCACTTAGAACAGACCTGGATGTTCAGGAAGTACTTATGCATGAAACAGGTGACACAGGCCCAGAGCAGGAGGAGTGGCATGGGGCAGTCCCTGAATATAGTGGTCTGTGCCCCCTCCTCCATGATTTGAGGTTCCCTGGATGAGCAGAGTAGGATGAAAAAGGATTTGAGATCTCAGTCTATCACGTGAGGACAAGAGAGAAAGCAAATCAGGGTAACATAAGAACAGGTAGTTTGAGACACATCTGAATCATTCATTCATTCAGTAAAATTATAGTATGTGCCTTCTATGAGCCAGACACTATATATATAGACTCTGAGGATAGAGTGTGGACTAGAATGATGAGGCCCTTTTCTCATGGAGCGCACGTTCAATTGTGATGAAGGGGGTGGTGGAGGAGACAACAGACAGACCAGTAATTAAGGAGGTAATTAAATAAAGCAGTAAATATGTCATTGGCACACTAGAACATGTGTGAAATGATGGAGACCAGGGACTACTTCATTTTGGGTACACAGCAAAAGTTTCTCTAAAACAGTTGTATTTAAGCTAAGATCTGGCTGACAACAAGGACCCCTATTGGTTGGAGGGGAGTGTGAGTTCACCAGGCAGCTGTAACAAAGTGCCATAGACTGGGTAGCTTATTAACAACAGTAATTTATTTCTCATAGTCCTGGAGGCTGGAAGTCCAGATCAGTACTTTATCTAGTTTCTGACTGCAACTTCTCGCTGTCCTCACATGGTGGGAAGAGAGTGAGATAGCTCTCTGGCCTCTTATTATAAAAGCACTAATTACATTCTTGAGTACTCCATCTCCATGACCTAATTACTTCCCAGAGGCCACACTTCCAAACACCATCATATTGGGATTAGGGTTTCAAATATGAAGTTTAGACACACAAGCATTCAGTCCCTTGCAGGGGAGAGAACATCCTAGACTGATGAAGGTGAACGTGCAGAGACCTTAAGGCAAGAATGGCTGTGGTGTACTGGAGGCGCAGGGAGAAAGCCAGTGTAGCCAAAGCACAGGAAACCATAGGGAGAGTGTGACGAGACCACCCCTGAGAGGTAGGCAGAGGCCATGTCACACCCGCTGGTTTGGTGGTTGAGTGTCTCTCTCCATTAAAGTTCTACTCATTCACTGTGGCGAAGGAGCTGTAAGTCACTGCAGGCAACTTCGGCTCGGCCATCTCCCACCCGTCCGTCCACCCACCAAAATGGTAGACATAGGATTCCTGTGGTCGTGCACTTTTAGGGGCCCTATGTTAGGGGCGGTTCCGGAATTCTATGTGGTGGGGAGCTGAGGGGTAGCAACCTAGGAAAATCATCTTAAAACGGCATTGCGATAGGAATCGTGGTATTTTCATTTGACTTGTGTAATAACTTTTAACAATATCAATCTGTCTTACAGATGGCTTTATTCACACGTCCCGTAAAATTAAGACCTCTATTCTCCCCGAAGACTAGTGTCTATTTTAAGGTGTTTTGAGGGGACTGGTATATTATTTAGGAGTGAAAGGCACTGCGCAGAGCCCCTCTCTGGGCGGCATCGCAGAGCCCCGGCGGTCCCGGGAGGCGCACACAACCTCAAGACAACTAGAACACACAGCTTGGCACGCGCCTCTCGGCTCGGGGCAGGCGGTCTACTTCGCATGCGCGTGACGGCGCCAAGGGGCTGGGCGGGGCCGGGG